CAGTCAGCACAGCTCACCTGCACCTGCTGCACGCCTGTCACCCCTGCAGCACCAACGCTGCCCAGAGCAGCCGCCAGGGGAGAAGACAGAACCACCAACAGGTTCTCCTATGAAAGCACGGATCCAGAGAATGTCCCTGATCTTATTTCAAATATTAGTTCCAAAAGGCTAGAACTGCAGGGCAGAGGACACTCAAAATAAAGATTGTGTTAAAATCTACCGGAAAGTATGTTTCAAATTGCAAAAGCTGAATTTTCATATTCTGCTATCAAGAGTGTATTCAGGGAATCGTGGGAGAAACCTTTTGCAATCTATCCATCTAACAAAGATCTAATATCCAGAATCTATAAGGGACTTAAACAAATTTAACAGAAAAAAACAACCCCATTGAAAAGTGGGTAAAAGACATGAAAAGACACTACTCAAAAGAAGACATACACGCGGCCAACAAATGTGAAAAAAAGCTCAACATCACTGATCATTAGAGAAATGCAAATCAAAACCACAATGAGATACCATCTCACACCAGTCAGAATGGCCGTTATTAAAATGCCTAAAACCAACAGACGCTGGCAAGGTTGAGAAAACTACACTGTTGGTGGGAATGTAAATTAGTTCAACCATTGTGAAAGACAGCCTTGTGATTCCTCAAAGAACTAGAGGCAGAAATACCATTTGACTCAGCAATCCCACTACTGGGTATATACCCAAAGGAATATAAATCATTCTATTGTAAAGATACATGCACACATATGTTCATCGCAGCACTCTTCACAGTAGTAAAGACATGGGATCAAACCTAAATGCTCATCAATGATAGACTGGACAAAGAAAATGTGGTATATACCGTGGAATGCTATGCAGCCGTAAAAAGGAGTAAGATCATAACCTTTGCAGGGACATGGGTGAAGCTGGAAGCCATTATTCTCAGCAAACTATCATGGGAACGGAAAACAAACACTGCATGTTCTCACTTATAAGTGGGAGCTGAATCATGAGAACACATGGACACAGGGAGGGGGAACAATACACACTGGGGCCTGTCGGCGGTGGGGGGGTAAGTGGGGGAGGGAGAGCATCAGGAAGAACAGCTAACGGCTGCTGGAGTTAATACCTAGGTGACAGGCTGATCTGTGCAGCAAACCACCATGGCACACATTTACCTATGGAGCAAACCTGCACATTCTGCACATGTACCCCACACTTAAAAGTTGAAAAAAAAATTAAGGTATAGTTCACCCCGTCCCTGCCTCCCCCTGCAAAAATGAGTATATTCAGGGAATCTTTAGAACCTAGAGGGACTTTCAAAAACTGCTAAGTACAATAACGTTTATTGCATAAAGTGAATCTTAAATATTGGCATTGTGACGGAACTATCAAAAACGTACCCAAGTAAGCTGTAAATGTGGTTTTAGAATTCTGAATTAAGTAGCTTTGAATGGTATTTCTCCTGAAGCATTGGTTGTGTGTTACATGCAGGAAACCATTGGTTAGTTTTCTTCACATTTTTTTCTATTTGCCCTTATTATGCTGTATTTTTAGAAAATCATATTGGTTTTGTAGCTTTATTCCAACCTCTATTAGTTTCTGTGGGGAGGCCCCATTAAGTGAGTTTTGTTTTCCCTGACTGCCATCTAGAGGCTGACAGGCGTAATTACAGACACTAGGCTTCCTAGGCGGGGAGGTAGGAAAGGCTGCTGGGGAGACCCAGAACCATTCATCTTTCCGGCTCTGCTGCCTAAAGGGTGGTTTGCAGTCCCGCGCGGTGGCTAACGCCTGTAATCCCAGCACGCCGAGGCGGGCAGATCACGAGATCAAGAGATCGAGACCATCCTAGCCAACGTGGCAAAACTATAAATACAAAAATATAGTCTCTACTAAAAATACAAAAATTAGTTAGGTGTGGTGGTGGGCTCCTGTAATCCCAGCTACTTGGGAGGCTGAGGCAGGAGAATCGCTTCAACCCGGGAGGTGGAAGTTGCAGTGAGCTGAGATGGAGCCACTGCTCTCCAGCCTGGCAACAGAGTGAGACTCCGTCTCAACAACAAAATTCTTTGCATGCCTGACTCTTCACAAATACTTTCATTCTGGGGTTGCAAGGTCTAACTGGCCCTTCTACACACTCCTTTGGCTTCTTTAGAAGATCATAGCTTAATGCTTTAGATATCCCATCTGTCTGAAGCCTCTGCCCAAAGACCTTATTTAATTCATAAAATAAAATAAAGCCATTCATTTCATTTTATGCATTTAGGGGAGCTGCCTCACGTTGGGAGCCCACACTGCAGTATTTCAGGTGGCTTTAGCCCACCAAGGAGGTAGATGTCACTTTGTGGAATCGTAGACACTTAACAGGTGGAAGGAGCTTTGCAGACTGTCTAGCAAGTGATACTCAGCCTAGAAAACTGGGTTCTCTGACTCCAGAATTGCAATTAGCAGCTGATCTTTCCCTCAAGTCTCAGGAAACAAGTTAATGAAAAGGAGTGTCTCAATTCTGAGTTTTCTCCTGTGCTTTTTTTCTTTTTCTTTTAGTATTTTATTGTGACAAGGTCTCACTCTGTTGCCCAGGCTGGAGTGCAGGCGGTGTCATAGCTCACTATAGCCTCAATCTCCCAGGCTCAGGCAATCCTCCCACATCAGCCTCCTGAGTAGCTGGGACTGCAGACCCAGGTCCACCAGGCCCAGCTAATTTTGTTTTTATTTATTTATTTATTTATTTTTACAGAAAGGCGGTCTCACTATGTTGCCCAGGCTGGCCTTGAGCTCCTGGGCTGAAGTGATCCTCCTGCCTCTGCCTCTCCAAGTGCTGGGATTATAGGTGTGGCCCTCTGTGCCTGGCCCTCCCGTATATTTTTCTTAAATCATGGTATCCACTATGCCTCCCTAACTGAATAGGCAATGATGACTCTTAGGTGAGACCCTGGGGACAGATGAGCTGTGATCAACAGCTTCCCCCTTCCCTTCCCATGGCTCAGGTCCCTTGTTTAGTATTAGTCTATAAAGACAAGACTGCTATTTCTCCCATGTTTTTTTGCTAGAAAAATTCTTTTTATTTCTTATCATAAAGTTAAATTTATTTAGAATTTCAAAATCATTGTATATTTATTTAGAAATCCACAATGTGCTAAGTAGGCCACACTGCTATGCATAGAGTGACATGTGGGGGTTCTGTCATCCAGACAGCGTGAGAATCTGGTGGCAGATCCCCTTATTCCACAGAGGAAGCGGATAAGGCCGAGAAGGGTGAGGTGAGTACAGAGACAGAACTGGGTCTGGACTCCTAATCAGGGGAAAGGAGTCAGGCTGGTGGGAGGAGGGGAAAGCAGAAAGAGGAAGCAGGTCAGCTGTAAGTTTGCCTTTCTTCATGATCCAGGACACCAGCTCTCCTGTACAAATAACTCACAATCTTCCTGTGCCCAAGTATCACCAGACACCTGCAAGTTAACTCACTGCAGCCTTGGCATCATCAGTACTGCACACAGCCCTCTCCAGCACACGGCCCGCACCGTCCTATAAAATCCCCAGCAGCCTGTCTCCTGGCTGGCAGCTGCTCTTCTGCTAGCTGCTCATTGCCTTCTTGCAATACATTTTCATACATTTAAAATAAATAAATCTGCCTTTCTTTATCTACAACTGTCTTGGCAAATTCTTTTACCCCCATGCCACTGCCCAGATAGTTGTGGCTCACCCACTGGTCACTAGAAGAGGGGGAACCAGGGCTGTGTTCCCATCACAGCCCAGTGATTCTCCTTCCCAGACTCAAGACCTACTCTTCGAGCACTTTCCTTTGGTTGAGGAACATCGTCTCTGGAAACCATCTGGTAAAATGAGCAAGTGCAGTGCTTTGCTCCCACACTCAGGTCAGCGGGGAGTGGCTCAGCACACGAGCGGGCTGTCCCCTCCCTCATGGAGCAGAAACCAGGCCTGAAGGATAATGTAGAGCTGGGAGAGCTGCTTCAGAAGGTGAGAGTCACCGTCATCAAGGATGGGGTGGTCCAGAGTCTGCGTCCACGGGGATGAGGGCAGGGCCGCCACACGTGGAAGCTGTGGCCTCCGAAAGGAAAAGCTGGTTCCACCATTTTCCTTAACGGTCACTAATGGCCTCTGCACTGCCAGATCCAATGGCCACTCCTCCGTCCTCACCGGGCCGGACCTCAGCAGCTGGGGCGTGTTCACGCTTTCTCCCTTCGGCTCTGGACGTCACCGTCTCTCAGTTTTCCTCCTGCTCCCTGGTCACCCTGACTTCTCTGCTGGGTCATCTGCTGCACCTTAATCTTGTAATGTCACAGTATCTTTGGCCTTGCAAAAGGAAAATAAAATCCGGGAACCCCAAACTCACTGTGCCAAAGGGAAATGTGAAGCTTGGGAACTGAGTTACCCAGAGCTGTAATTTCACAGGCTCACTTTGTCTTCTGTAGAATGTAGATGTACTGAGCGCAGACCAATGCAGGACTCACCCACCCTTTTCACATGTCAAATGTGGACTCAGTGTGTACTAATCAAAGTCTCCTCCTTAGCAAACTGTCCTTTTTTCTTCTTTCCTCCTTCCCCTCCTGCCCATTCTTTCCCTTTTAAACACAGACATCCTCAAAATTCTCTTTGGAAAAAGCACAGGCTACAGATCCTCCTGTATCATGCATGTGTGCGTGTGTGTGTGCGTGTGTGTGTGTGTGTGTGTATTTTTTTCCTGGGCGCATCCTCAACCTTGGCAAAATAAACCTCTAAATCAATTGAGATTTGCTGCAGTTTCTTTCTGGTTTCCAGCCTCATCACTTCCTCATCTTCCCACTGAGGCCTCATCCTGTCCCCTGACTTTAAACATCTGTTTATCTATGCATAATAACCCCTACATGTCCATCGCTAGCCCTGAACTTCCTCCCACACTGCACACGTTTGTCCACGTCCCTACTTGAGATGGTGACTTGGATGTCTAGGAGACATCACACCGACGTGTCCAAATTTCCCCCAGATCTGCCCCACCCACAGGTTCCCCCATTCCAGGTGCTATTGATTCTGTTGGTCTAGTTTCTTAGGCTGAACATCCTTGGCTCCTCTTTCTCTCACAACACAGAAATCCTGTTGGCTCTATCTTTAAAATTACAGGTGCCCGCCACCACACCTGGCTAATTTTTGTATTTTTAGTGGAGATGGGATTTCACTATATTAGCTAGGCTGGTCTCGAACTCCTGACCTCAGGTGATCCACCCGCCTTGGCCTCCCAAAGTGCTGGGATTACAGGTATGAACGACTGTGCCCAGCCCTCATTCGGCTCTTCTGTATGTTACCTAGCAGTTCTTTCTCAGCCTCACATTTTGAATTGGGACACTTTGTACTGATGGGATAAATAATGATAACTTTGGTTTATTTTCTTAAGCCTCTACCTGGTGTCATTTGCTTACTTCACATGGACACACACTTATCTCCCTAACACCCCTCAAGGGAGACGTGGTCGGCAGCATTGCATGGGCCTGTCCCACAGCCCCAGGTTTGGTCTGTGTGGCTGTGAGAACACAAAAGTGAGGGATTGTCACTGCCCAGGCTATGCTACAAAAGCTACTGTGTCCTCACCCCTTGCTCTCTCTGGGATCACTCACTCTGGGGGAAGGAAGCCAGTTTTCACACCATGAGGACATTTGAGTGAGCTGCGGAGAAGCCTGGGAGGTGAGAATCGGAAGCTCGCTGTCTGCAGTCCCGTGAATGCACCATCGTGTAAGCAGGTCCTCAGCTCCAGTTACTCCTTCAAATGACTCTGGACTCAGCCTGCCCCTTGACCACTGCCTCCTGGAGGTCCTGGGCTGGAGCAAAGCTGCTTCCGTGTTCCTGCCCTGCAGAAACTGTGTGAGGGTGCACGTGTTTGTTGTTTTAAACTTCTAAGTTTTGGGTCATTTGCTAGGCAGCCATAGAAACAAATACAGTAGGTATTATTATTATTATTACTATTCATTTAACTTTAGAAATAAGAAATCAGAAGTTCACAGAAACGAACCTGCCTTAGGTCACGCAGGTAAGTGGAGGCAGGGCCGGGTATGGCACCTCAGAGGCGCCAGAGGGTGCTGGGCCCCCCAAAGCCACTGGAAGCTGAAGAGCAATTCCACATTCCATGTGTACCCATGGTGACAGGCCATGGAGTGGAGGAAAAGCTTATGCCTGTTAATTTAATCAGAAAGATGAGGCTTATTTGCAGAGAGCAGAGGCTAGGTCATTAGGTGACAGGACCTCCAGCGTGGCTTAAAAACCAAACCACGCACTTGGTTTAATCTGAATCCCTATCCTCAGGTTTGGAATGCCCAGCTATCCATCTCTTTAAAACGACATCAGTCAAAAAGAGGCCAGGCAAGGTGGCTCACGCCTGTAATCCCAGCACTTTGGGAGGCTGAGGCAGGCAGATCACGAGATTGGGAGTTCAAGACCAGCCTGGCCAACATAGTGAAACCCTTTCTCTACTAAAAATAAAAAAAAATAAAAAAAAATAAAAAATCAGCTAGGCATGGTGGCATGTGCCTGTAATCCTAGCTACTCAGGAGGCTGAAGCAAGAGAATAGCTTGAATCCAGGAGGTGGAAATCGCAGTGAGCAGGGATGGCACCACCGCACTCCAGTGCGGGACTCTGTCTCAAAACAAAATGAAACAACACAAAACAAACGACATTAGGCAAAAAGAATTCAATAGCTGCCCACCCCAATAAGCCCATACCTCTACCACTTGTAGTAGAGCCAATCTTACCTTTATTCCAACTTGGACAGAATGTGGATCGAAGTTTGGGGCTGCTTTTGCAGTAACCAAGGATTTAAAATCTGAGTGATGCAATCTTTCCTGTTGCACCTCTCATTTCTAAATATGCCTGTAGATGGCAAAGCAATTAAGTCATTTTGTTTCAGCTTCTGATTTTACTCTCCTAACCCCAGAATTTTTGCAACGTTTATTCAATGGGGTTAAAAAGAAACCTCACCTGAATCACCTCTTAAATAAAGGAGTCGCTAACCCCTTGTGGTGCTTTATCTGCGCAGCGGGAGTGAGGGTAACGTTTAGTAGTGGGAGCTGGAGCTCCCTTTCCCTCCTCCTCCCAGGAGTCTGGGCTCTCAGCTGGAGGCCACTGTGCCCTGGCAACTGCCATTTCAATGACATTCTTTCTAATAAATGTCTGCCCGAGGGTTTATGGGGTGTTTCTGGCCCCAGCTCAGCGTAACCAGCAGGGGCTGGGGGCGGAGCGATTTCCTGTCCCCTCACCCAGGGGTTTCTGCTTCACCATGAAAGATCACAGGAGTATTTGATGCTGGTTCTTGGAACAGAAATCGTTAATTAAAATCAGTGAGTGTTTGAACAAATCAAATGCAGCCGCACCTTGCTGGCAGAGCTCGGGCCCAGAAACGCAGGCAGAAGGCAGCCCCCAGAGAACACGGAGGCAGGAAGCCCCTCTCTTCTCAGCCAGTCCCCTAGTTCATTAGTAATGAGGGGCCAGGAGGACAGAAGATACAGAAACACAGCAACAACCCACCTTTCCTTCCAGCCAAACCTCCCGACCCTCCAGGCGTCACACATCCCAACCTGAAAGGCTCGTCGCGGAGCCCAAGTGACTGGTTTGATTTTTGCTCATTCTCTTTCTGCACCAAAAGGTAGAGCGAGGTTGAGAGAGAACAGAAGAGAGCAGGGGGTCTGAGTAATGTTTAAAGTAGATAATTATCAATACTCATCAAGAAACTTGATCATTGTCCCAAGAATGAAGATGGTAATGACATCTGAGTTGGAGGAACCGGGTCACCAGGTTTTGTCCTCTTGGAGCCTCTTCTTTTGGAGGTCTGGCCTCCCTCATGGACTGGCCTCTGAGTGTACCAGAAAACCCAGGATGCGCCTGGAGGAACCGGCCGGGCTACTTGTTAGATCCCGGGAGGGAAATGGAGTTTGCTCTCTGCTCGTCTCTGTCACTCAATCCAAAGATGTTTATTAAGTGCCCCTGGGACTTAAAGTCCCATTCTTTAGATGCAGAGCAATCAAGACATCTTTGTATCAAGGAAACAAATGAGTTCATGTCCTTTGCAGGTACATGGATGAAGCTGGAAACCATCATCCTCAGCAAGCTAACACAGGAACAGAACACCAAACACCACATGTTCTCACTCCTAAGTGGGAGTTGAACAGTGAGAACACATGGACACCAGGAGTGGAACATCACACACTGGGGCCCATTTGGGGGCAGAGGAAGGGAAGGGAGAGCATTAGGGCAAATGCATTAGGACCGGATGCATGTGGGACTTTAAAACCATTTTTTCACTGTAGAGACAGGGTCTTGCTATGTTGCCCAGGCTTGTCTTGAACTCCTAGCCTCAAGCAATCCTCCCACTTTGGCCTCCCAAATTGTTGGGATTAAAAGCCACTGGGCCTCCATGAGAGTCTTTTTTTTTTTTTTTTTTTCTGGAAACAAAGGGATTTTTTTTTTTTTTTTTTTTTTTTTTGAGTTGGAGTCTTGCTCTGTCACCAGGCTGGGACTGCAGTGGCACGATCTTGGCTCACTGCAACCTCTGGCTCCCAGGTTCAAGCGATTCCCCTACCTCAGTCTCCTGAGTAGCTGGGACTACAGGCATGTACCACCATGACCGGCTAATTTTTTAGAGATGTATTTTAATAGAGATGGGGTTTCACTATGGCCAGGATGGTCTCGGTCTCCTGACCTCATGATCTGCCCACCTCAGCCTCCCAAAGGGCTGGGATTACAGGCATGAGTCACCACACCCAGCCAAATGTTTTTCTTTAATAGCAAAATATGTCACAGAAAACTTGGAAAATGCAGAATACACAGAAAATACAACTAAAAACCTTTATGAGAATTTCAATCATTAAACCGTGAATCTCAGTTGCTCTGTCTCTCAGCATCTCTTGAGTGCGTTTGGGTAGATGCATGGTACCTAGCTTGTGGATATGCATAGATACTCCTTCCGGGGACTCTTAAGGGAACTCGGACCCTCATGTGCTCCTAGCTCTTACCATGGCCCTTCTGCATGCATCCTGTTCCTGAGGATGGCCCTGAAGATGAGGAAGTCTTATTTTCAAATGAATCTTATTTTGAATGGCACGGAACCAGGAATCCCTACAATGAAGTTGGGAAGTTTGTTTCTCCCAGGGCTAGAGCATTATGGAGGTAATTTTTCAAGTCTTAATATGATGCCATTATGACATCATTGAAACGGAGTCAGGGTCAGGCACGGTGGCTCACACTTGAAATCCCAGCACTGTGGGAAGCCAAGGTGGGCGGATCACCTTGAGCTCAGGAATTCGAGACCAGGCTGATCAACATGGCAAAACCCCATCTCTACTAAAAAATACAAAAATTAGCAGGGTGTGGTAGCACATGCCTGTAACCCCAGCTACTCAGAAAGCTAAGGCAGGAGAATCACTTGAAGTTGGGAGGTGGAGGTTGCAGTGGGCTGAGATCATACCACTGCACTCCAACCTGGGGGACAGAGCAAGATTCGGTCTCAAAAAAATGTTTTTTTAATTAAAATTAAAATTAAAAAAAAAGAAAAGAAAAAGGAACCGAGTCAAGGTGAAGCCATTTAAATGGAAATATTTATTTTCTTAAAAATATAGCTTAGTTTTCCCTCTCCAAGTTTGAGAAGAAATATTGGGAGGACACGGGACAAGATGACACAGGAATTTGGATGTTCACCGCAAACCCTGGGGTGTCGCTGCAAAGCATCCTGGGTCCAATCCCAGCTTAGGAAACCTCACAGCCTTTTTTCCACTTGGACAGGTCTCTGCCCTCGCAGTGTTTTTTCCAGCCTTGCCTGAGGACGAGAGGGAAGCAGGAGCAGCAGAAAGAAGCATGACAATCAAATCATCTTAGGTTCAAAGCCTACAGAAATTAACCAAAATCACAGCGGAACCCTGGGGTGGGTTTCATTTGCTTCTGAGATCCAAGGACACTGTCCTTTCGCCTAGTTCAGACGTTTCTCTCCTGCTTTTCTCCTAGCCATTGTTAGCTTCAGCAACAAGCAATCAACTTTGGTAAGGATGGGTCATTTCATTACACACCCACATCTCTGAAAATGCGGGTTCTCTGAGTGGGTGGCCCGGATAGCAATGTTCACTAGAACACAGCAGCAGGGAGCGCGAGGTCCCAGGCTCAGTCCTGGGGGGCTTCTGCTGAGTCGCCCTGTCACCGACCTGCTCACTTTCCTCTCACTGCTGCTCGTCCTCTTTCCCTGCAAAATGTTGCTGTAACCTTCCAAATCTTATCCAAGTCTAGAGCAAACTCAAGCTTTTTTGTTTTTTCTTCTCTGTTGATTGACTCAATTGACTCTTTCCAAGTCACTTTAGAAATACCCTTCTTCATTGTTTGGAATCCGTTTATATGAAAAACAATTGCAAACTATCTTAACTCAATCCCATCTCTCCTCTCCCCTTCTATCTACTACTGTGTTCACTGCACACCCGCCCGCCGATGGAGGAGAATGTAGACAAGGTCTCCTTCCATTGGTTGGACCACTCTTCGGAGGTGAGTTGTCAGTTCCACCGTAGCTGTGATGAAGACACATTAGGTTTTGCCCATGCAGCCAAAGTCTCCCAAGGAAAGACTCTTACCAATAGTTCATTCCTTGTGTCTCTTTAACAATTTTCCTGGCACAGATAATCGCATCTGTGAGGTCATCAGTGATCAAGGCTGTAAAAGAGACGACATCAGGGTCAGGTGAGATTTTGTTGTTGGAGAGGGACCCAACTCAAGTTCACTTCACTTTTCTCACTCTTGATGGAATGGAGGTTTGGAAGAACCGTGATTTTCCCTGCAGAGCCACAGTCTCATTTTTGTTAAGCTTCTTTATAATTAAAAGAACTTTGTTTTTATTTTAAGACCATCTTCATCTTACACTACCTGATGTTTCAGAAGAAGAGCCCAATCCTGAAGGGTTTTTGGAAATGTGTTTAAGAAGATGTCATGTGAAAATGCTTTTTTTGTATCTTAAAGAAATAGGTGCAGGCCAGGCATGGTGGCTCAGACTTGTAATCCCAGCACTTTGGGAGGCCAAGGTAGGGGGATCACTTGAGGCCAGGAGTTTGAGTCCAGCCTGGGCAACATAGCAAGACCCCATCTATGCAAAACATAAAAAATTAGCCTAGCATGATGGCACACACCTATGGTCCCAGCTTCTTGGGAGTCGGGTAGGAGAATCACTTGAGCCCAGGAGATCAAAGCTGAAATGAGCTGTGTTCACACCACTGAACTCCAGCCTGGGCAACAGAGTGAGACTCTGTCTTAAGAAAAAGGAAAAAAAAAAGGCACCAAAAAAAAGCTCGTGTAGTCAAGACAATCCTAAGCAAAAAAAAAACAAAAAACAAAAAACAAAGCTGGAGGCATCACACTACCTGGTTTCAAAGTATACTGCAAGTCCACAGTAATCAAAACAGCATGGTACTGTTACCAAAACAGAAATATAGACCAATGGAACAGAACAGAGGCCTCAGAAATAATGCCACACATCTACAACCATCTGATCTTTGACAAACCTGACAAAAACAAGCAATGGGGAAAGGATTCCCTATTTATTAAATGGTGTTGGGAAAACTGGCTAGTCATATACAGAAAGCTGAAACTGGATCCCTTCCTTACACCTTATTCAAAAACTAACTCCAGATCAATTAAAGATTTAAACATAAGACCTAACACCATAAAAAACCTAGAAGAAAACCTAGGCAGTACCATTCAGGACACAGGCATCGGCAAGGACTTCATGACTATAACACCAAAAGCAATGGCAACAAAAGCCAAAATAGACAAATGGGATCTAATTAAATTTAAGAGCTTCTGCACACCAAAAGAAACTATCATTTGAGTGAACCGGCAACCAACAGAATGGGAAACAATTTTTGCCATCTACCCATCTGACAAAGGGCTAATATCTAGAATCTACAAGTAACTTAAATAGATTTACAAGAAAAAAAAAACAATCCCATCAAAAAGAGGGTGAAGGATATGAACAGGCACTTTTCAAAAGAAGACAATCACACAGCCAACAAACATGAAAAAGTGCTCATCATCACTGGTCATTAGAGAAATGTAAATCAAAACCACAGTGAGATACCATCTTAATCCAGTTAGAATGGTGATCATTAAAAAATCTGGAGACAACAGATGCTGGGGAGGATGTGGAGAAATAGGAACACTTCTACACTGTTGGTGGGAGTGTAAATCAGTTCAACCATTGTGGAAGACAGTTTGGCAGTTCCTCAAGGATCTAGAAATAAAGTCTTTGTCTTTATCACTTTTCCTCTTCTGTTTTTTGTTTGAGACAGAGTCTCGCTCTGTCACCCAGGCTGGAGTGCAGTGGCATAATAGCTCACTGCAGCCTCAACCTCCAGTCTCAAGCAACCCTTCCACCTCAGCCTCCCAAGTAGTTGGGAATACAGGTGTGCACCACCATGCCTGACCATTTTTTATTTGCATTTTTGTAGAAACAGGCTTTCACCATGATCCCAAGGCTGGTCTCGAACTCCTGGGCTCAAGCAATCCTCCAACCTTGGCCTCCCAAAGTGCTGGGATTACAGGCATAAGCCACCACTCCCAGCCATCTGTGATTTTTCCAATTGCTTCAGATATGACAAATCTTTGAATTGAAATGTATTAGTTGATATCCACATTCTTTCCTGCTTGCTTAGAAATGGCCTCAAGATCCTCAACACAAACATGATAGAAAAAAGCAAATAAATAAAACAAGTTCATGGCTGGGCGCGGTGGCTCACGCCTATAATCCCAGCACTTTGGGAAGCTGAGGCAGGTGGATCACGAGGTCAAGAGATCGAGACCATCCTGGTCAAACATGGTGAAACCCCATCTCTACTAAAAATACAAAAATTAGTTGGGTATGGTGGTGCATGCCTGTAGTCCCAGCTACTCGGGAGGCTGAGGCAGGAGAACTGCTTGAACCCAGGAGGCAGAGGTTGCGGTGAGCCAAGATCATGCCATTGCACTCTAGCCTGGGTAACAAGAGCGAAACTCCGTCTCAAAAAAAAAATAAAAAATAAGTTCAACATTACTTCTGTTACAAGTTGAGTCCTCCAGGAGCTGATGCTGAGATGGGTTTGAGGTGCGAGATATTTTTCACAATCCACACCTATGAAAGGAAAGTGGTGGGGGGAAGTGGGATGGACAGACAGAGATGCCCATTTGTGACGCAGACCCAGCAGTGGTCTAGCATATTTCCTGGGAGACGTGGGTTCGGGGCGGTCTCTAGAAGTTGGAGGGACACAGATTATATAATGCATAGTGAGGAGGAAGCAGATCACATTCTATTTTCTGGGACTGGAGGTCATCCCAGGCGTGTACAGAAAGAGCACATTTGTATTGGGGGCAGGGCAGTTTGCTTGGTTGGCGATGCCCTGTAAGGATTCCTGGGATGGTCGGGCCAGGCAGGACCAGGAAGTGGTCACCAAGGAAAGTCGTTTGTCCCCTCCTACTTTGTTAGAGCATTGTGTTGCAAAGTTGGGATGTTGTGAAAGTATTCGTTGGACATGACAGCATTTGCTTAGCAAAGTATGTTGGCCAAGTGCGGTGGCTCAGGCCTGTAATCCCAGCACTTTGGGAGGCTGAGGTGGGCAGATCACTTGAGGTCAGAAGTTTGTGACCAGCCTGGCCAATATGGCAAAACCTCGTCTCTACTAAAAATACAAAAATTAGTTGGCTGTGGTGGCACATGCCTGTAATCTCAGATACTCAGGAGGCTGAGGCAGGAGAATTGCTTTAACCTGGGAGGCAGAGGTTGCAGTGAGCTGAAATTGCACCACTGCACTCCAACTTGGGTTATGGAGTGAGACTCTGTCTCAAAGCAAAAAAAAAGAGTAGGGAGGGGACAGAGGAAGTTTGCTGAGGTTGGGATATACATATAATATCTTCCAGCTTTTTTTCTGTCCAGTCACTCAGCACAAGTCATGTCCCTTGAGGGAAGGTTTTAGATCCTAGAAGGCAGTCCTTTCCCTGCAGACCTTTTGTGCCTCAGTGCTGGTCACAGCTCTCTTTCCATTCCTCTTTGGGCTAGGGGTTTTAATCCCTCATTTCAGTATTGCCATGGTTTTTCTACGATTTGATCAGATCTTTGTAAGTAGAGTCTCTATTAACATTCTCTTTCAATTACCCAGTTTGGATTTGCTCTGTCTTCCTGCCAGGATTCTTTATGATATAGGAGGTAAAAAAATTAACAACTTGCTTCTAAGAAAATGTACTCTGAGTGGCTAGAACTCCAGGTATATGCCCACCTATTTTTAATTTTTTTGTGGAGACACAGTCTGGCTGTGGGGTCTCACTATGGGGTCTTACCCAGGCTGGTCTCGAACTCCTGGCCTAAGGTGACTCTCTGACTTTATTCTTGTACCTTACATGGCAAAAAGGAATTTGCATGAGTCCTTGGAAGCAGAGAATCTTGCCCAGCTGTGGTCAGAGAGCAATCCAATGACAGAAAAAGGAGAGATTCAAAGCGTGAGAGGGTCTCGACCCACCATTGCTGGCTGTGAAGATGGAGTAAGGAGCCGTGAGTCAAGGGCCATGAGTGGGAATGGCCCTCAGGTGACAACCTGCAAGCAACAGGGATCTCAGTTCAAGACTCACAAAGAACTGATCTCTCCCAAATCCCAAATGAGCAAGGAAATGGTTCTTCCCCTAGAGCCTCCGGAAAGGAAAACACACCCATCAATACCTTGACTTCAGCCCTGTGAATCCCCATCAGCCTAGAGAACTGTCAGCAAATTTTGCAGTGTTTCTAAGCCACTAAGTTTATGGTAATTTGTTAGAGCAGGAATCAAAACCTGAATTCCTTTCTGACTGAATTAAATGCTATTTTAATGGCTTGGTATGCTGAACAAGATTCTCTCCTTCTAAGAACTCATGAAATTAGATTGGCTCCACCCACATTGCCCAGGATAATCTCTCTGGCTCAAGCTCAGATCCTTCCTCATATCGGCAAAGTCCCTTTTGCCATGTAAGGTACAAGAGTAAAGTCAGAGAGTCACCTTAGGCCAGGAGTTCAAGACCAGCCTGAGTGAGACCTCATAGCAAGAGCCCACAGCCAGACTCTGTCTCTACAAAAAAAAAATTAAAAAGAGCTGGGCATATGCCTGTAGTTCTAGCCATGCAGAGGAGGAAGGGTTGCTTGAGTCCTGGAGGTCGAGACTGCAGTGAGCTATGAACGAACCACTGTACTCCAGCTTGGACAACAGAGCGAGACCTTGTCTTGAAAGAAAAGAAAAGAGAGTGAAACATAAAGTGTATTCATCTCATTCTGCTCCAAGAAGTACCAACTGCATCCTTTGAGCGAATTGCTTACGGAAAGCAGCTGGCAGGCAGCTTCCTTTTTCTTTTTCTTTCTCTCTTCTCTTCTTCTTCCTTTTTTTTTTTTTTTTTAGATGGAGTCTCCCTCTATTGCCCAGGCTGGAGAGCAATGGCATGATCTTGGCTCACTGCAACCTCTGCCTCCCAGCTTCAAGCAATTCCCTGCCTCAGCCTCCCAGGAAGCTGAGATTACAGGTACCCGCTACCACTCCCGGTTAATTTTTGTATTTTTAGTAGGTACGGGGTCTCAGCATCTTGGCCAGGCTGATCTTGAACTCCTGATCTTGTGGTCCACCTGCCTCGGCCTCCCAAAGTGCTGGAATTACAGCTTCCTTTTTTTTTTTTTTTTTTTTTTTTTTTACTGAAGACATCAAATATCTCTATATATGCAAGGGCAGTAGAGAGTTCGTCCATCCCCCTGCTTTACTGGGAGGCTCCATAAAAACTCTCCTACATGGAATAAGTCATCTTTGGACAAGTCAGCCGCAGGATCCTGAGTGCCACTTTGGAAACTGTTGCATAATTTACCAATCTGGAACAGATGTATTTGCAAGTCTGAACTCCAAATTTTAGTTAGAGCAAAACGTGGGTGGCAATCGCATTGTCAGCTTTCTCCCCCGGTCTCATAGGAAAGTCAGAGCCTCACCTGAGCAGGCGACGTGGCAGTGGTTCCGCTCCTGCAGCTTTCCTTGTCTGCACCAGGTGAAGCTGTTGATCTGGAAGATGCCGTAGTCGATGCTGCCATCATCCAGGACCGTCTGGGCCGTGGTGTTGTAGCCGCTCTCGTAATACGCCATGCAGATCCCTGGAGGGGCAAAGCCAGAAAGGCCAGCAAAGGAAGTGCATCGCTGGCTCTAAGCCTGGTCTGAGGAGGCGTTTCCTGATTGCCGTTCCCTGACTGCTTCTTCTCAACACACCTCGGGGCAGGGCAGGGCAGGCAGGCACCCTGAGGGGCACATGGGGGCTGGGAGGGTGCACCTGAAGCTGGACACCCAGTCAGGCCTGAGCCTAGACAAAAGTCAGGTCCCCCTTCCCCACAGTGCCAGCAGAAGTGGCATTATTTTCCCCTTCCCTGATGGTGTCCTGAGGACAGGACTCCAGGAATAAGGAAATGAGGGGCAGGGGAGGAAGGAGAGGAGACCCAGAGAGCCACAGTTAGGCTAGCAGCCACCCCTGGTGCGGTGGGGGCAGGGCATGGACCACTGGGAAGACGCAGCAGGGAGTGTGGCCGGGACCTTCAGCATCTCAGGGCAGAGGTCAAGGACAGAAAGAGATCAGGAAAGAAAGAATCTCACAGTTTCCAAGGCTGAAGCCCCCATAATTGTCCAGGCCAGCCCTCGAGAATATTTTTGCCAGTTTGCAGCGAGTGTAGATTTTGGACTCGGCGCCTGTGACCAAGCAGCCAATCAGGGTCAAAAGGCCCACAGCCTTCATCCTCAAAGCCTGCTGGAGACAGAACCTGCCAAAGAGCAGGAGGCCGGGTCAGATGATCTTGATTCGGGAACTTGGAAATCCAGCCCAGAGACTGTGCACAGCCCTGCCTAGATGCTGCCTGTCACTTTGGTCATTCAGAGCCACCATCAGGGCAAACTGGCCACTCCACAGTCCAGGGAAGGAACGCGACTGCAGGCTCTTTCCTTAATGCTTTTCCCTGCAGTGACTTCCAAGTCAGCGCTGTATTCTCAGGATTAAGCAAGTGAAAAATTAATCCTCCTTAGTACACATCCAGGTGAAAGTCACAGGGGGCATTTTTAGGATTTCTATTTTAATTCTATGAAAAGAAAATAGAATACAAGGGTGAAACATTCCCTATACTGCGGACCCTTGAACACATGGGTTTGAACTGCATGGGTCCATTTTTGGGAATTTTCTTCTGCCTCTGCCACCCCTGAGACAGCAAGACCAGCCCCTCCCCTTCCTCCCATGCCTCAGCCTGCTCAGCGACAAGACAACCGGGATGAAGGACTTTATGATCATCCACTTACACTTAACTGAGAGTAAACACGTCTTCTCTGCCTTACGCTTTTTAAATAACGTTTTCTTTTCTCTAGCTTACTTTACTGTAAGAGTACAGTACAGAAGACATAGAACATAAAATGTGTGCTTATTGGCTGTTTATGTTATTGGTGAGGCTTCCAGTCAGCAGTAGGCTATGAGGTCAGCAGTAGGGTATGAGTCGTTAAGTTTCTGGGGAGTCGGAAGTCACATGCAGATTTTCAACTAGGCAGGATTTGGCATCTGCCCCTGACCCCTGCCTTTGTTCAAGCATCAACTGTATGTGTAGAAATAGACACCCTATTTCATCCAGAGATGAAAGACCCATGGGGCTGTATGGACGACTTGAAGATTTATTGTTTGGGGGTTTATTGAAGGGTGAAGATGAAGCAACCTAATCTTTCATTTTCTTTTCTTGATTCATTTCCAGATGTGGGCACATTGCTTCCAAAATACCAGTGTTTTATCTGAGATGGCAAATGCACTGTTTTGCTGGGCTTCACCACCAGTGCCTGGGGGCCTCCTAAAAGCCTGGCACCTGATTGGGGAGCAAGAGGGATGAATGACCATGCCTCAGGAAAGGAGGACAGCACCTGGGGGAGCAGAGGGGCATAAAGAAGGCCCCCCTGGAACCATGTGAAATGGGAGTAGGATCAAGAGTGCTGTCTCCTGCTGCCTACTGATTTCCCACAGTCTCTTCCTCTCTTGGAATAATGTCTTCCCCAAATACGGCGGCCTTGCTGGAATAAGGTGAAGTGAAATTTCTGACACCTGCTCGGGATCCTGAACTGGATGTTCATCCATGTGTTCATTCTGTGTCATTTTCTGCACATGCCTAGAAACTTCTCCAGTCATCGGTTTCTCTCCCTGGGGCTGGATTCCTGCATTGAAAGCCTAGGCCCAAAACAGGGCTAGTATTCACCAGCAAGGCCACCACACTGAGTAACAAGCAGGGCTCTAAGGTGACTAAGCAATAAGGTAAGAAACTGCACTTCATGAGGGGTATGTACATTACAAATGTGAATAGCAAGGTGGGCAAACCAGGCCTGCTTTAGTATGTAAAGTTTTATCGAAACATAGCTACACCCATTTGGTAATATATCACTGGTGGCTGATTTCCAACTACAGTGGCAGAGTTGAGTAGTTGTGTTAGAGGCTGTACAGACCACAAAGCCTAACATATTATTATCTGGTCCTTTTCAGAGAAAGCACGCATGCCAGTCTGTGGCATACAGCATTGTGTTAAGCTGTGAGAGGCAGACAAATGAGTTTAAGACACAGAGCTTACACTGGGCATGGTGGCTGATGCCTAAAATCCCAGCATTTTGTGAGGCTAAGACAGGCAGATCACTTGAAGCCAGGAGTTTGAGACCAGCCTGGGCAACAAAGGTAGACCCCTGTCTCTACAAAATATTCAAAAATCAGCCAGGCATGGTGGTGTGCGCCTGTGGTCCTAACTACTTGGGAGGCTGAGGTGGGAGAATTGTTTGAGGCTTGGAGGTTGAGGCTGTAGTGAACTGTGATTGCGCCACTGAACTCCAGTCTGAGAAACAGAGACCCTGTCTCAAAAAGAAACAAAAAAAGACATAGAGCTTATAAATAAAGTGGGTTTCCATCCCCTGTCTTAGAATGTCACTGATCACAAGCAAGTCAAAAGAAGACCCATAATGATGGTAACCCCATGAATCATGTTCTACATTCTTCAAGCCAGGATGGGGTTGCCATTGCTGGTTCTCTGGGACAGATGGCATCAGAGTAATTTAGGCCTTACTGAAAATGCAGATTCCTGGTGCCTGCCCCAGAGGCTGACTTCTCAGGTGAGTCTGCGGAAGAAGCACGGCTCTACTTACTCAGTCTGTGACTGGCAGCTCAGGTGAGCTTCCTGCATCCCCTGAAGCCATGTCTGATTCCTAAGAGGCACGAGTAGTCCTTTCCTAGCTCAAGAACCTTTCATTAGAATGTTAGAGAAAGAACAATTCTTAACACCTTTGTTTCTCACCACCTAGAGATGGTAGAATTCTACTTCCTGGGACTAAAAGCCGTATCATCCTGCTCGCTTGTGTTCTCAGGCAGGTGATAACTCTTCTGGGCCTTAAAACCTCTCGTTTTTTCTCTCTTCCCCTCAACAACCTCCTCACTACACAACTTGGCCAGGGCCTCCCGTCCAAGTGAGAGCTCTTCTTTAAGTTAACAGTCTGCAAACTTTATCACAGACTCTATTAATATAGTTAAGCGTGTATCCCTTTTAGATGTACATTAAGTTATAAAGCACACTTCTGTACGTCTGTACTAATATGCTACATAAATTAGCAACATACACAAAACTAAAATCTGAAAATGGATGAGATAAAGGTGAAATTGACATTAAAAATTTATTAACAGCACATTTCTTTGCTATAGGTATCTGATTAATTAAAAAAACATTTCAAAGGAGGGCCACAAAAGAAAAAAAATTTTATGTATCATCAACATGTTTTCATTATTTTTGAAAAATTTGGCTTAACTCTTTGTAAATAAATAGCTAAAGAGCTGGCTTCAAGGTCCATTTATTTCTGTGTTCAGATTTAATGACACATTTGAAATGAATTCCCATTGGAATATGTAGATCTAAGTCGAAGTTTATTGTTGGTTGCATCTAACTTATCATTACATTTTATTAAATTCCATCTATGCAAAGGTTTTGTTGAAATCTGGTTTTACATTTATATAGTATTACATTGTGTAGATATAACATATTTAGCCAATTCCATATTGAGTCACACTTACAGTATTTTGTTTTTCTATTATAAACATATTACAGTTAGTAATCTGTAGGATACATTCCTGAAAGTTTGTCAGGGATGAGGGGCTAGGAGAGGGATAGCATTTGGAGAAACACCTTATGTAGATGACAGGTTGATGGGTGCAAGAAACCATCATGGCACATGTATACCTACGTAACAATCCTGCACATTCTGCACATGTATCCCAGAACTTAAAGTATATTTTTAAAAAGGCTTGCTGAGCAAGTTTTCAAATACAAAGCAAACATACAAAATCCACTTATATTCTTACATACTAGGAATACAAAATAGAATTTGAAATAAAAAATAACCATTTGCAATAGCACACACGAATATGATGTACTTAAATTTAAACCTAACAAAATCTGCCTGGATATATATGCTGACAACTATAAGACAGATGAAAAATTTAAAAGACCTAAGTGGAAAAGATATGCCATGTTCATGAATTTGAAAATTCAATGTTGTTAAGATTTAATCTATAGGTTTAATGGAATTCCAATTAAAATTCCAGAAAATTGTTTTGAAAATATTAGTAAGATGATCTTAAAACTTATATGAAAGGCAAAGGGACTAGAATAAATAAAACCAATCAGAAAAAGAACAAAATTGAAGGTCCCATACCACTTGATTTTAAGACAATATAATGTTGTAGTAATCAAGACAGAATGATACTGGTGGGAAGATAGACCCATAGACCAGTGGAACAGAAAAGAGAACCCAGAGGGCCGGGCATGGTGGCTCATGCCTGTAATCTCAACACTTTGGGAGGCTGAGGTGGGTGGATCACGAGGTCAAGAAATCGAGACCATCCTGGTCAACATGGTGAAACCCCATCTCTACTAAAAATAAAAAATAAAAAAATTAGCTGGGCATGGTGGCGCGTGCCTGTAATCCCAGCTACTCAGGAGGCTGAGGCAGGAGAATTGCCTGAACCCAGGAGGCAGAGGTTGCAGTGAGCCAAGATTATGCCATTGCACTCCAGCCTGGGGTAACAAGAGTGAAACTCCGTCTCGAAAAAAAAAAAAAAAGAAAAGAAAAGAGAATGCAGAAATAGATCTACAAATATGTAGTCAACAAAATTGTTACAAAGATGCTAATTAAATTCAATGGAAAATTATGTTCTTTTCACCAAATGATACTGAAATAAAACTATGTGCAAAACACATGTTCAAAACCAACACAATGAAAGAAGGCATGCTAAAGAGCACACACCTTACACCTCACATAAAAATTAATGCAGAATGTATCAAAGACCTAAACATAAAAAATGAGAGTATGAAATTCTAACAGTAAACATAGACAATCTGCAGGACCTAGGGTTTGGCAATAAAATTTTAGATACAACAACAAAAGCACAATCCATGAAAGAAAACAGTAAGTTGGACTTGATCAAAAGTAAAACCTTTTTCTCTTTGAAAGACACTGTTAAGAAAATGACGACTAGCTACAGACTGGAAGAAACATTTATAAATCACATGTCTGATGAAAGCCTTGTATTCAGAATATATAAAGACACTTAAAATTTAACTATAAGCAGACATATAACCCAATTAAAAACTGGGCAACTGATTTAAGCAGACACTTCATCAAATAAGAAACCCAAATGACAAATAAGCATATGAAAGATGATCAATATCACTGTCACCAGGGAAATGTAAACTAAAACCACAATTAGATATCACTTCTCACTGATTAGAATTGCTAAAATCAATCAGATGCCACCAGATGATGATGAAGACACAGAACCTTCAGAACTCCCATTTATCACTGAAGGGAAAGCAAAGTGGTACAGTCAACCTTGGAAAACAGTCTGGCAGTCTCTTACAAAGTTAGACACAGATTTATATAAACCAACAGTCACACTCCTAGGTATTTAATCAAGTGAATCAGAAACTTAACATTCACACAAAACCAAACTAACCCATGTTTACAGCAACTTTATTCCTAATCACCAAAAACTGGACACAACCAAGATGACCTTAACGGGCAAATACATTTAAAAAACATGATCTATCCGTACACTGGATTACTACTCAGCAATGAAAGGGAAGCGCTACTGATTCCTGTAACAACGTGGATGAATCTTAAATGCATCTTGCTAAGTAAAAGCAGCCAAACCAAAATACTACATACTATATAATTCCAGGTTTATGACATTATAGAAAAGGCAAAACTATGGGGAGGGAAAACAGTTCAGTAATTGTCAAAGATTAGAGGAGAAACAGACCATAAATGGACCACACACGTTCTATTTTAGGTCAATGGAACTGTTCTCTGTGGTACTGGGGTAGTGGATACATTTGTCAAAACCCCCAGACCCATACACCCCAACAGGGGAACGTCGTTGCATGCAAACTTTAAAACATCCTCCAGGATGTTGGAGAATACCAATTTAGTCTGTGACAAAAAGGCCTAGCTGTATTACAAATGTGTGATACAACTTTGCTGAAGGAATGGGAAAAGAGTCACTGATCTGGATAACTTTGGAAAAACAGTGTTTAACTGGATATTTAGAGTATAAAGACAGAACAGTCTGTACATAAACACTGAATTCCAGTTTGTGAATTTCTTTTTCATTGGGGTGTTAGCAATTTTTTTTTAAGATGGAGTCTCTTTCTCTCAGCCAGGCTAGAGTGCAGTGCTGTGATCTCTCACTGCAACCTCCACCTCCCAGGTTCAAGCAATTCTCCTGCCTCAGCCTCCTGAGTAGCTGAGATTACAGGCTTTGCTGCCACACTCAGCTAATTTTATATTTTTAGTAGAGACAGGGTTTCACCATGTTGCCCAGGCTGGTCTTGAACTCCTGACCTCCAGTGATCTACCCAAATCAGCCTCCCAAAGTACTGGGATTACAGGCGCGAACCACCATGTCTGGGCAGTGTCGGCAATTCTGAAACTACTTTACTTGTAAACAAATGGAGAAAAACATTGCAGATAATGGGAACCAGATTTCACACTGTCAGAGACAGAAGTTAAAAATAAGCAAAAGAGGCTGGACACAGTGGCTCACACCTATAATCCCAGCACTTTGGGAGACCAAAGCAGGAGGAACATCTGAGGTCAGGAGTTTGAGACCAGCCTGGCCAACATGGTGAAACCTTGTCTCTACTATCAATACAAAAATTAGCCAGGCATGGTGGCACACACCTGTATTCCCAGCTACTCAGGAGGCTGAGACAGGAGAATCACTTGAACCCAGGAGGCAGAGGTTGCAGTGAGCCGAGATTGTGCCACTGCACTCCAGCCTGGGCAACAAAGAGTGAAACTCGCCTGAAAATAAATAAATAAATAAGTAAAAGAGAAAGACTAGAATTGAACTCTGTGATACTGGATTAGAGTCAGAGACATGAATATAAATCTGTCCATCTACCTAGAAACAGTGGCACTCCAGTAGCAATGAGCACTCTCAACACACAGACTTGCTTCTGATTTCATTCTCCAGTCAAAGAAGCCGGGACTCCTTAGAAATTTCTGATTTCAGGACTGAGTCCGGGAAACAGCTGATTTCAGGACTGAGTCCGGGAAAATGCAAAATTACCTTGGAGTATTTTGTTGGTGCCAGAGAATAAGGAAATGCTGCGGGTCGGGGAGGCACCTATCAAAGAGACACAGGAACCAAACTGAGAAGACTCCTGATGGCCCAAACTGGGACAATCATGCAACAAAATAACTAACGATAGCGCAGGATTCTAACTCAGAGAATAAAATAAATATATGTATGAGGACATGCTAATATAAATAAATGATTGAATAAATAAACATCTGAGGACAAGAAAGTCTGTCTCACAGAATTCTGAATAGTCAATTAAGCTCCAGGAAATGGAGCTTAATTCTCCTCCCTGTGAGTAGGGGCTGGACTGACTGACTTGCTTCCCGCAGAGAGAACACAGAAAGGGGAAAATGGTGACTTGCTGGTGAAGAAACCCAGCGGACTCCATCTTAGCCAAGTGATCAAGGTTGACCTCACCAGGGAGGAGTCACATCCCCCTGTGGGACGTGAGAGAAGGGCACCTCCCCTCTGTGGCTTTCTTCCCCCAGAATCCATAGCCCCACTCGAATCATGAGGAAACATTAATAAAACCCTAAAGGATGGACATCCACAAAATACTTGACCGGTGCGCCTCAAGTACGTCAAAGTCAAGAAAAGCAAGGCTGAGAAAATGCTAGAGACTGGAAGAGACTGAGGAA